CTTTTCTTTTGAACTCCTAAGATTTGAAAAATAGTTGTTCATTTGCGTATTTCTGTATTTCTGCAGTCTCTTTTTTCCTGTCTGTGTCTACTGTGGCCTTCCTAACTAACTGATCAAAAACTCCAAAATTCTTGCAGCAATATTTTCCATGTAGCTGATCTTCCCTAAAAGCCACAGAAATTGTGTTGACAATTGGATTATTTTTTCAGTACCTGTTTTCAGTTAAGGAAACATAATGCCTATATCCCACAGAAATTTATCAGGGCAACACCTCCCCCCTCCCAGGAACCCCAGTTATATAAAGTTGCACCAGTTTAGCCAGTATACTTGATTTATTCAGGTATGTGCAATGAAGACTATATGAACTTCCTTTCAGTATGGGTAAAAATCATCTTTGAAATATATAAATGCAGCTTGTAAAAACTTACATCAATGTAATTGGTAGGGACAACAAGCTTGTTTGTTTTTTATTTTGCTCATTTGGTAGATTAGGCGCAGAATCTTAAGTTAGCAGCCATGTTCAGTATCTGCAGATAGGTCAGCGTATTGTGAACATCTGCTGAATGGAAGGTAATATTGTATAAGAGGAATTTACAGATGGCTGCTGCTACATCTCTTCTACTTGCTCATGAATAAGAACTATCAAAAAATGTAAATGATAGGCAGATTCAGAATATATAAAACATTATAGTTTTTTTTTTTTAATGTTCCAGATGACTAAACTGCCAGTCAAAATACTTGTTATACATGACTGTGACACTGAATCTATGTAGAGCAGGAATTTTGATTGACAGGTTGGAAAAAGAAGTGGCTTGGAGGGGAATTCTGTCATTCAGTTCCAGGAGGTTATAGGAAAAACGATTAAGATACTGGAATTTTGTTTATTGTTTGGCTTATGATAGGGCTATTGTAGAAGCATGTCTCATCATTTGATTGTTTGGATACCATTTTTTTCACATATTTGTATATTTTATCCTCCATTTTCCACACCAGGTTTGCAATTTATGTGGCTGGGTTTTTATTGATCTGGGAATTACTTTAATTGCCTGTGGTCTGGCCATCATTAGGGTTGATTTTGCTAATTATATGTTCATAAAGGACCCCATAGTAAATCTCCATTTATAATTTTCATTACATTTCAGCATTCAATTGAGTATTTTTATGTTTATCTCTAAAACTTGTTGGCTGCACTATAGTAAAAGTTCTCAGTATAATATACAGTAACAATTCAAAATATAGAAAAAACAAACTGAAAGATCAGCTAAAAGTGGTAAAGGGTCAGGCTGCATTCACAGAAATTATTTGTTTTAACCATTGTTTGCTGAGTAAACCATAGTTGGCTGGAGTCATGCAACCATAAAACTAACAGTAGTTATTGAGTTCAGAGAAACTACATTTTGGGTTAGCAACTTATGTGGGTCAGAGTTCCAGAAAAAAAGCTAGCTATATAATACCATAATGGAAAATGAAGACCTAAGAAAATAAATAGGTTCTTTCCCAGTGTTGACCAGGTAGCATATATGAAAAGAATATTTGTGGAGAGAATTCCATTAAAGTAGGCTACTGCTGTGAAGTCTTGCTCCCAAGTAGCCATCTGCCAGTCCTTAGCTTATGAGCATACTTGGAGCAGGCCTCCAGCGATGTCCTCAAAACCTACTTTTGTGCCAGAATTGTGATCGTGTTCCTGATTTGGAGGAAGTCTCTCAATCTCTCTCTCTCTGTGTATCTCTCTCTGTCTTTTTCTGTCTGCTTCTTTTCCATTCCTTTTCCAACTCACTGATAGCATTTGGTGACCAGTAGTGACAGATTTCTCAATCAGCAAATCTCTGGGGCCAGTTAATCAGTGAATAAGTCTCATCATAATCCTTTTCTGCCAGCAGATCTTTTGAATTTGGATTGCATTATTAATCATAATCTTAAGGAGTATCATCACATTGGATATTGAGTTACATTTTGTAATAGTGTAGAAAATACTGACTTTTTAAAATCATATTATCATTCCACATAGCATGGACGAGTAATCTTGCTGTTCAGCTTGAGTGAGTAAACCTTAACTTAAATGTATTTGTAAATGCTGCACAAAATGTTGGATTTTTATGGTAAAAAAATCAGGGGAAAAGGAAAATAAAAATATATTGAGAATCTACATTTTAATGTTTGGCCTACATGGTATTATTAATTATTAATATATTTTTATTCTGCTTCCCATATAATCACGTATCACAGTGGCATAGAATAAAATTAATTAAAACAATATTAAAATAACCCTATTCATTAAAAAGATGAAGGGGAAGAAAATAGCCATACATTTATGGAAGGCCTGAGTGAATAGAGAAGTTTTAAAGGTCCACTAAAAGGCCTAATAATATGAGCCTCTTGAATATCAAGAGAACATTCTAGAGTGCTGGCACTACCAAAATAGCATTTATATTAGTTTGCTGGCAGGTTATCTGGTTATTGGCTTTGTTAGAAGACCAAGAGTTATCTTTATTCCATTACCAGGTATGTAAGAACACCTTGTTAACTTCTGTTAGAACTGGAAACCAAGCAGCTCCCTTTGGTCTCTAAATCATTTTAAAAATGATTGTTAACATTTTTTGTCCCTGACAATGCAGTTGTAAGCCATTTTATTGTTTCTCCAATTACTTTGACTCAGTTTCTAATCAGTTCAGCAACATGTAGTCTTTAATAAATTATTGCCAAGACAGTTTGTGCAAGTTCTGAAGGCTGTCTTCAAATCTAGTCTAAAAAGAACTGAATTTAAATTTCACCCATTCTTTTTTTCTGTACTTAATATTTAGGAATTTATCTGTGTGTGATCAGTTGCATCTTTCACCAAAGGAGAGTAACATGGCATGATTCTGACTGAACACAAGTTAAAACCACTGTTAGGGCCTACCTTGTAGCGATAAGGGCGGCAAAATGTCAATATTTCTCCACCCTGTTGCATGTGCAGATGGCTGCCTGGCAGCCTTGTTTCAGGTGGCCTGTCCTCCTGGGAGGGGATAGCTCAAAGGTTTACCTACAAGGTCATGCTAAGGAATTGGCAAGGCATCTGATGGATAAAGTTGATCAGATTTACACTACTTTGGACCCTGGTCTTGTAGCAGGTTCTATGGAAGTTATTGGGGCGAGGTCTTACTTGGTTACTTGGGAGAAATTTGATCCTGTTGGATCTGAGGAAGTGGACAGGGTTCTGACAGCTATTAGGTCAGCCACCTCTGTTCCTCTTGGTTGGCTAAGGCCTCCTGGAAGGTGACCTGTAGTTGGGTTTTGGCAGTGGTTAATTCCTCTTTGAAAGAGGGGGTGGTTCTACTGTCTCTAAGGAGATATTTCCTCAAGAGGCCATTGCTGGACCCAACAGTGCTGCACAATTTTTGTCCAGTTTCTTACTTTCCCTTTTTGGGGAAGGTGGTCGAGAAGGTGGTTGTGCAGCAGCTTCAAAGAACTCTGGAAGAATCCAGACCCCTTTCAGTCAGGGTTCAGGCCCAGGTATGGGACTGAGATGGCATTCATCACACTTTTGGATGATCTGTTGTGGGAGTGGGATGGGGTGGTGCAACCATCCTTCCTCTTCTTGACTTCTCAGCAGTTTTTGGTGCCATCAATCATGATATCCTTCTGGACTGGCTTTGGGAGTTAGGGGTAGGTGGCACTGTGTTGTACTAGTTCTCCTCCTTCCTATGGGCCCGGGTCCAGTTGGTGTTGATAGGGGAGGAGAGGTCCAGCCCATACCCTCTGTTATGTGAGATGCTGCAGGGCTTGGTGCTCTCTCCTCTCCTGTTTAACATCTACATGAAGCTGCTAGATGAGGTCATCTGTCAGTTAAGGTTAAGGGTGAGGTACCATCAGTATGCAGATGATACCCAGTTATACATTTCCACCCAGGGCCGTCCAAGTGATGTCATGGAGGTCCTGTCTTGGTGTCTAGAGGCTGTGGGAGTCTGGATAGGGAATAGTAGGGTCAACCCTAGTAAGATAGAATGGCTTTGGGTTTTAGGATCCCCTGGTTTTGGGGACCTTCCATCTCTGCTCTGCCCCAGACAGATCCTATTTGGGGTCCTCTGGGTGGCAGCTGTGGCCAGGAGGGCCTCTGCACAACTTTCTGTTATGTGCCAATTGTACCCATTCCTGGACCAGGAGGCCCTGTTGAAAGTCATCCACACCTTAATCACCTCTAGATTGGATTACTGCAACACGCTTTTCATGGGGCTGCCTTTGAAGAGTATTTGGAAGCTTCAGCTGGTGCAAAATGCAGTGGCACAAGCATTCGGCATGAGTGATACCTCCGCTCCACAAGCTGCATTGGCTACCAGTATGCTTCTGGGTACAATTCAATGTGCTGGTGGTTACCTTTAAAGCCCTTCATGGCTTGAGGCTAGGTTAATTATGGGACCATCTCTCCCCAGGGGAGTCTCTAACTGTCCTGTTAGACTCAGGAGGAGAGGCATGCTCTGGATTCCATCTGTGACAGAGGGTCACCTGTTGGGACCCAGGAGGAAAGCCTTTTCTGCTGTGGTGCCCGCCCTTTGGAGCACCATCCCCCCAGAAAGCAGACTTGCCCAGAGCCTACTACTGCTCTTTCTTTGTAACAAGCTTCAATGCAGACAACCTTATTCTGTTCTTTTTGTGCTGTTCTAGGTGCTCAGTTGTTCTTTGTTTTAATTCCTCTTGTTTTTTAGTTAGAGGGCTTTGTTCTTTCTGAGGAGGAGGCAGAGGAGAGGGTGCCTGGTTTGGGAACGAAAACGTAGCAGTATTGGCCGGCCTGAGTAGGTTTGTTCTGTAAAATAGGCAGTGCTTGATGGTATGTAAATATTGCAACTGATAGATAGGGCCTCTGAGAAGAACTTCCATACTGTTGTTTTTTATATATAGTCCATGATATATCCATGTGTGGATGTGAATAAATGAATATCTGTCCTGTAATTGTTTTGTCTTTTTTGAACAGGCTCTGAATTAAAAGAAATAGGATTATTTCAGCTTTCTTTGTCCTTCTCTAGCTTCAAGTCTCTGTTCTGAATATTGTTGGAAGCACATGAGGCCATGGCAGATGTTGATGTTCAGCCATCCATACCGAAAAGGTGTGGTCCATACATTTCTTCTGTCACCAGCCACAGCTTGAACCTGGTCCTTCGTGGGATAGTCTTGTTCCTAATTGGAGTTTTTCTTGCATTAATATTAAACTTGCTTCAGATACAAAGAAATGTCACCTTATTTCCACCTGATGTGATTACAAGCTTCTTTTCTTCAGCTTGGTGGGTACCCCTTGGATGCGGCACTGCATCAGGTATGTCAGAATAATGATGCTAAAAGGACAACAAGAAAAATGTTGTTAGCTTAATCCAGGCCATCAAGAACTTCAGACCTGTGGTCAGAATCCATATTTTCTGCCCCCCAACCCCCCCTTCAGCCTCAAATTTATTTATGTTCCATGCCAGGTTAAGGGAAATGTGAAGTTTCTGTATACTTCTAGTATTGGCAGATAGCTCATTTGGAACCCACCAATTCCATCTTTTTTCTTACCGGGCAAAATCAGTTAAAGAGGAAAAGATGGAATTGTACGATGCTATTTATTGGTAGCACTACTAGTTCTCATCTGGAAGCAGCCTGGATAGTATATCCCTTCTCACTCCCTCTCAAAAAAGAAAAGAAAGCAGTATTTAATACTTTGATGAATTCACTTGATATGTAACATCTTTTTAACACCAGAAATCTCTTGGTAATAAAAGATTACTTGGTAAAAAGATTTACCAAAAAATTTCTTGGTAATAAAAGATTTTAAAAAATGAGAATATTTCTCTGAGATTAATTTACCAATTATTTGTCAAACAGATTTTTGCTTGCTAAAAGTGTTTTCCAAAGGTAGATATTTGATGTTAAGTAAATACTTTCCTTTTTGCTCCCTTTTCATGAAGTTAATGCACTATAGATTTCAAAGACTAACTTGAAAGGAATTTTCTGTGAAATCTGGCTGAATCATTTCTCACATGGGTAAACTTGGAAAAAAATATTATAGTTAGGGATTTGGATCTCTAAAATACCTGTATGTCATAGTTCTTTTTTTTTTTTTAGTTCCTTTTTCCTGGAGTGAATCTGAGATTCTTAAATATGCTATGCTGGCTAGGCTTAATTTTTATTTTTCCCCCTAAATTTTGTAATTCTAAAGCAAGGATTCCCAGTTGTGTGTACATTTTCATCATCATCAAGCTACTATTTGCAGTAGTTCTTCATTAGGTGTTTTCAAAATATATTGTTCCAGAAAAACACTAAAAGTCAGGAATGCTGTTTCTCCTCCAGATCTTACAATTGCAAGAGTGATCCAGTGGTTTTCTAGAAATTAATTGTCTCAGATGGAAGCAGTTTGTGGTATTCCAAAACACTTATACACAAGCTACTTCTCATTCAGAGGAGTAACTTCTGGAAATGGCATGATCTGAGTGATTTGGAGGAGAAACGGAATGGTAGGTTTTCCGTGTCCCTTCTCTTCATCCCTTAAAGAGTTTTAAAGGATTTCTGAATCAGGTTGCCACGCCAAATGACTTGCCTGTGTCATTTATTCTCACTGAACTCAGTAAAATTTACTTCACAGGTTGCGCTTTAAAAGGACTTAAACATATCAACTGTCAAAAAAGCTATTATACAGTAGATACCTTGTTAGCTGTGTTTGTATTTTACAGCTGTAATTGGGTTATTGTACCCCTGCATGGATAGACATCTGGGAGAACCTCATAAATTTAAGAGGGAATGGTCCAGTGTGATGAGATGCGTAGCAGTCTTTGTTGGCATAAATCATGCCAGTGCTGTATCCTTTTCTACAGTAATGAAGTTGGCAATAACATATAAACTTCAAGCAGATCAAAAAATAAAACTGAGCTGCCCTCTAATTTCACTGAGGTTGAATACAAGGAACATTTTTCCATATGGTAATAAATTTATTACTATATTTATATTAGAGGAAGACCATTTTTTCCCTAACATGAGTACCTGAATTAGGAAGATACTGTTGGAAACAAATGAGTGGGATGGAGGTACAGATGGGTACAGATATTGTTTCTGAAAAGCATGGTTGCCTTTGAAGATTAGCCATAGCTAATACATATGTGTATATATACAAAATGAACATGTACTCACATATACAGATGTACTCTGTGCACACATTTTTGAGGAAGGGGTCTCAAGAATTGGTTTCAGCTAGAATTGGCAAACCTAGGGTAAAAAAAATGAGGAAATATTGTTGTTAAAATCAGGATTATCTTCCTTTTGGGTAATTACAGCCATTACCCTCCCCGTATTAATTCAGTAGTATACCACTATTTAAAATAGCTATGGTCTCAGATAATGAAAATAATGAAGATCCATGTTGCCTGATAGCCATTGATACACTTTTCCTTTTAAGATCTTCCCACGCTAGTAGCTATCATTATATAATAGAAAATTATTAGTTGGAAAATTAATAGAAAAAAGAAATTCTTTTTTTTACCTGTGCCACTTTCAAAGCAACACTTCCTTAAAAATTCTGAATAAGCACAGTAAAAATACAACACAGTCTAAGATACATTGGTCATAAAATAACCAGAAACAATAACATAAGATTTAAATTCTGAAGAAGCATGAATTTATACCCACAGAAGGCATAAAAGTGGAGTGAGGTTGGTATCCAGAGGAACTTAGTTTTTCAAAACAACCACTAAATGTGGATAATTGCATGCTCACTTAAAAAAAATAATTTAAAAAATTGGACTTTTGACATCATTGGACCAGTCTTGAAAATGCTGTGAATGTTGGGCTGGGCAGGGGTAATATTTAGCCTTGGCTTTTGGAGAGTTGATAAGTAGGAAAATCAGAGATTTGGGTTTCTTTTAGCTTAAAGAGCTGACTGTCTCTTTAAGGATAAAACAAAAAACAGAATTGGTTTGCTGCCAGTCTTCTCAAAACAATCCTTAAACAGTCATAACAGAAAGTGGATTTTGCCAACAACTTTCAGTTGTCTCTCACACTTGCTGCACTTTCAGTTGGGCTCTGGTGGACTTTTGATAGATCTCGAAGTGGTTTTGGACTTGGAATAGGAATTGCATTTTTAGCCACCTTGGTGAGTCAGCTTCTGGTCTACAATGGAGTTTATCAGTAAGTATTTTATACATATTAAATTTATATTAATTTAATTTGGATATTAAAGGCAGTATCAGGGTTGTAATTTAAAAATGCTTTGCCTTATTACAGGAATAACAACATAAAAAATTCATTGGAGTGAATGTGACTCAAGTTGACACATTACATTTGTGGCAGGGAGAAGTTGATTGTTTTGTTTATTGCCTTTGCAATTACATGCCTTGAAGTTTGGGGATGAAATTACTTCTGCAATTAAATGCTAATAATTATGCTTCCCAGAACCAAGGTTGCAAGTAAAGCTCAGGTTTGCCTTGGAAGCTATAGGCAGGCCCACCCATACTGCCACTGCTTCTCCTCCCTATCAGCAATGTGAAGATTATTTGCAATATACTTCCAATTCTCCAGTTTCATAGAGCTCAGAACAAGGAACAAAAATAATTGTGTGCCACCATTCCCTCCTCCCCCCCCCACCTTGGCGAGGCTGCTACTGGTACCGCGTTTAAAAAAAGAACACACACACACAAAAGGTTAATTAAATGAATTGCTTACATCCATCCATCCTCATCCATATTCCTACTTCATGTTGCATGCATTATCTGGTGGTATGCTAAATAAATAAAATCCCAGCTGTTCAGAGGGGGGCGCTTAAAAGCAATCAAGCTGCCTCTTCCTATTAAAAGATTTGATGCTGAAGAGCTAGCGTAAAACAAATGGGGAAGAGAATTGTCCACAAGCTACATAGAGCCATACTTTTAAAGTAATTTTATGGTAGTTTCAAATACATCACAGCTGAAACAGAAATAAATCCATTTTAGCACTCTGCTTTTATACTGGACTGTCCCCAGTTTTCTATAAATACTCTGAATTGGCCCATTTAAATTATTTTATAATTTCTGGCCAAGGTGATAGTTAGGAAACTGTGTGCATGAAGGAGTTCTGCTCTTTTTAACTCTTTTTAATTTAATCAGTAACAATGATCCTACAGCTAGCATCCATAACACTCCGGGTCCTAGCAGCCTTCAGGCTTTTTACTGTATTTTCAAAATCAAAATCACGCTTCAGGCAAGGTGCCATTGTGATGCTAACTGATTAAAAAAAAAATTCTCTCTTCCCAGATATACATCTCCCGACTTCCTTTATGTCCGTTCCTGGTTGCCCTGTATATTCTTTGCTGGTGGAATAACTATGGGAAACATTGGCAGACAGCTAGCAATGGTAAGCTAGTAGTTCAGTATTCTGTTTGTTTGCAGTATACTTGTAAGTAGTTCAGTGTTCTTTTTTGTCCTTGACTTTTTTTCCCTTTTCCTTATAATGGATGTCAGTATTATTTTGTTTGTTTTAAACAGTTCTTTGTTTTTGGTTCTTACTTGCTTATGATTTTAATGGATTAACTATTTTTTAAAAAATGACAATTCTTGTGAGTCAAAAATATTATAAATACTTTTTAATAAATTTAAAAAGTAGTTGCAGGAGAATTCAGCCTTACATTTTTAATTTATGTAAGTATAAATAACATTTCTAGAAATACCTAGCCTGATTTTCCTTTGTTCATGCAAACATAAACTTTTTTTTTCCTTTTAAAACTTATTGTTTATAAAAAATGTAACTGGCTTTTTCATCATTATAAAGCAATATCAAAATGGATGGGTTCATTCTTTAAAAAATCTTACACCAGGAACTGATGTTAAATTTTGAAATACATGTTGTCTCTATGTGTGTATGTGTGTGTGTGTTATTGAAATCTCTTTTTTTTTTTTTTACTGTTTTTACTGTTTTTAAAGTAAATTGGCTTAACGGACAGGAGACGCACAATTAAGCAGTGAAGGCTATAGACATCTAGAGAGGCTGTTTTGTTTTGCTTTTTAAATTTCCAGGGCTGATCCCAGTCCATCCATCTCTCCTCTTTTTCATTTATGGTTTTCTTCTTTCCAAAGTTTTATTTCTATCATCAACCATTTTGTACTATTTTTAGACATTATAGGATCTGAAATCCTTGCTGATCTCCTTCAAAGATCTAGTGGTTGATCCCTGCCTACCTCTGCCCGTTCCAGTAATCCAAATTGCACTTGGTTTGCATACTACATTTTCAAGCAGCAATTCCAAGGATTAATGGGGTAAAATGAGTCCCTGGGGAAAAGAAAACTCGTTTGTTGAATCTACCCATTTCTTTGCTCTGCTCTTTCTCAATTGTACATTTTTATTTATTTGCACAGATCAGATACTTATGCCTAACTTCTGTTTGTTTTATAGTATGAATGTAAAGTTATTGCGGAAAAGTCTCATCAAGACTAAAAGAGCAAAAATAATTTTCTCACAGAAGGATGAATAGCAGACCGAGAAGAGCACACAGTAGAGAGTACTTGATTATACAATTGCCAAAAAACAATCTCCCTCTCTTGTTTCTTCTTCTCTTGTCCCTTTTGTGTCTCTGGCCTGGTCCACTTGTGAAGGCACTATTTACTGCAATCTGTGATTGCTGCATCTCTAGGTCACTTAAAAATCCTGGCATCTTGGGAATGTGATCTGTGTGAAACTGTGCTTCAGTGCAACATGTTGGAGAAAGTATTGGCTTCTGAGTAGGATCCTTGGTTTTCTAAAGTAAGCTAGGCTTGCCATATACCGTCCCTTTCTTTCCATAAGGTTCCCGTGCCAAACCAAGCTTACAACAAAACGAAATGCCACCCTCTTCTGGCTGCATTACTTTTTACTTATTTTGGCCAATTTTGAGAGATGTGGTATTCTTAGAGTGTTGCTATTTTATTATACCTCAAGTCAGAGGGATAAATGGCCCAAAAAGACACTGATGAAATTAACATCAAAAGTATAATCAGTGCTGTGACTCCTCTTAGTAAAAAGGTAAATAAATCTACAGAACAGCTGCACATTAGGTGAACATGAATTTTCAATTTTGTGTCAAGAGTTGATGGCATAGTTGGATGTAAATGCACTATTTGCAATACAGATGGGTAATATTGCTACTGCACTCTCAACGTCTATGCCTGTAGTGTGATGAGCATGGGACCACTCTGTAAATAGGTACACCCTGTTGTAGGACTCTTCATCCCATAGTAGCAGCAATACAGCTATTGAGATGTGATTCACACTAAATGGTAATACTGGGGCTATCCATAAATAAGACATTTACAGTTAATAGTTTAGTTCTGGAAACAGAAAAATCCAACTTACTTTTTAAGTTTGATAAGATGAACTTCAGTGTACTAGTTGCAAGTACCACTCTCACTTTGTACAATAAAATGTGGATAGCTGCTTGCAATCTGATCATCGGATCTGTAAATGTTCCTTTACAGAGGTCCCAGTGAAATGAATTTATGTTATTGCTTTTCTAGAAATGTCATGTGACAAAGTGAATTTTAACAAAAGAGAGGCACAGCAGAAGACATTATTATGGTACTGCCTCAGTAGAGCTGATCCTTGAGTCTGGTAAATGGGAGAAAGGAAAAATAAACTCTCTGACAATAAAAGTTTTAAATCATTCAATTTAATTTCTTCTATAATCTGTGTAAAGAAATCTGTGTAAAGTGAGAAGCTGCTGATGCTTTTTAAAAAATTATATGCAGTGCAAGTTTTAAAAAGTACTCTGCAGTCCCTCAAAGAGGCTGATGTTGGTCCAAAGAAAAATATGTATGAGTGTGTGTGTATATTAAAAATATATATAATTTTATTTTTCTTTAATATATTCATAAAATGTAGAATTGGAAAACCAAGATTTTTAAAGACTTGCACATTAATACATGAAGAATATGCAATGGAAGTCTGGGGAAAAATAAACCAAGCTTTGGAAAGGAAAATGTGCAATCAATAAGTCTTAAAAAGATATCAAACAATATGCAAAATAGCAGTAGCTCCAACTTTTGACTAGCTGTTGCAAATTCACACTATTGCACTATAGGGTCTTTAACATGATTGAAATGTTATGAGACTAAATATTAGAAAACACTCAAGTGTTAGTGCACCTCCTTATATGCCTTTCCCCACATGAAATCTACAGTGGAACAAATAATTCATAAGATTTAATTTTGAAACTTCTCTAATAGTGTAATTGTTTCTGAGGTGGTTTAAGATTAAGTCAAAGGAGGTCTGGTCCTTATCCAGTCAATCTGTGATTCTGCTGAATTCAGTTATTTAAAGTGGTCATCAGAGTTTATTAAAATGGTGATAGGAGTGCTTTGAAGGCTTAAATATGATAATTTAGCTCTCCCTATATAGTCTAATTATTAAATTGGAGTGTTGCTGTAACAAAATACAGCAAGCGTGACTTTGAATAGAGCTGCACCATAGATCTTCAGTTATCTACATCTTCTAACACATGTATAGTACTATGTGTTTGAAATACGATCATCTGCTACTTTGCTTTTGTAGATCTGTTGGCAGGTTTTGTTGGATTAAGCTGCCTTGAAGTGAAACGGGATAAAGGTTTGTCACAAGGTTTACTGAATCTAATTGCATGGAATTATGCAGATAAGAGTGACCTTTGGTTCAACCTGTGGGTATAATGACCAGCCATGATTGTGTTGATTGAAAGTTATGAATACTAGCGTTCATAAAACTTTAGGCTTTTCAGTGATTGCCTGTGAAGCATTTACTGCACAAGGCATTGAACCTTAGTTGTAAATTAGGACTTCATTATCTTGCTAAGAAGTCCAAAGTAGTTCACAGGTGTTGATAAACCTTAAAACATGAAGTCATATCTCATTGCATATTGCCCTGAAAATAGATACCAACATTTGCATATTAGCTTACTCAATAAGCATCATTGTTGCCCATCAGCAGAAAATGTCACTTGAAAACCTCTTGACTATCACTTCTACTACTGAGCCCATGAAGCAAATTACCCATCTTTCCAAAGTTAATTTGATAGACCACTATTATCTCTTACATAGTTTTATTGAACAAAATTTATATTGTTTCTCTGTATTACCAACCTGTACTGTAATTGTGAGAGGAGAGGCTTGTGATGAGAATGCCTTAATTACAGTGGTGGGAAAAAGCAACTACTGTATGATGTGTAACTATAATAATAGATTGTCTTCAAAATGCTCTATAGAGGATGAATAAGGTATATTTTAGATACAACTTTATAAGCACTATAAACTCTTCACTAGTTGTGAATTGTAAAAGTTGTTAATGTTTACTTCTTCAGACTGCTGTTAAAAGCAAAATATGTATTAAATAAAATTACAGCCATGAAAAATTGGTTTCTTTTTCATTTACGAAGAGGCAATTCATAATATCATGGTGATTCTCTTTCAGATATTAAATTAGAATGTTGGGTGTTGAGCCAGCATAATGATTACAGAACATCTAGAACAGGGTTTCTCAACTGGGGTTCCTGGGTGATCATGATTTATTTTAAAAAAGCAGAGACCGAAGAAAAACCCTCCAACCTCCAACATCGGATTGGCCTGCCAGAGTGTGCGTGGACCCCAGATGGGGTGGGGATTACACATGCATGTGCAAGCGAGGAGGTGAGGAACAGCAAGTGGTGAGAGAGTGTGAAAGACACCTCTGTGCTCTCCTTGCCGGCGCATGCCTGCCTGTCTGCAGGCGCAGGAGGCCAGGGACCTCTGTCTCAGGATGGGCACAGGAGATCTGGGGCTGGGCTGGCCTGGGCAGCAGCAGGAGCCATCCACAACGGTGGGGGGGAGGAGGCAGGGGAGAGGAATAATTGGTGGTGGTAAAGACTTTGATATCAGTGTGCCAAGATTTCAGGAGAGGTTAAGGAGTCCACATATTAAGGGGAGGGGCATTGGAGGTTGCAAGGCGTTAGCCCCTCTCTAGATTTGCAAAGGGGTCCTTGGGAGAGAAGGTGGAAAGTGGGGGCGAGAAAAGAGAAGCTGGATTTGGGAAGAGTGGAGGATGTCAGTCGACCTGACTTGGTGTGCCAGAGTCATCTGCATCCTTGTGATGCATTTTGCAATTACTGTTCATGAGAGTTTGATATATTGCTCAAAAACTCTACACACCTTTAAAAGTAGTCCAGAATAACCCAAAAAAACTCATCCCGCAAAGGCCAAACGTTTCCCACAACTGATCTCCAAAACTCATGTTTGGCCCAGAATTTAGTATTTGTGCAGCTAAAAACAAGCACAGGTTTCACATTAAGGAGGTAAATTTCATTCTTTATTTTTAGTTTAAGAACAATGTTAATGCATATATACAGGCCTACGAATTAAACAAATTTACTTTTGTAACTTCTGGCCTATATTTGAGCCTGAATGTGCAGGGGTTCCCTGGGCCTAAAAAATATTTCAAGGGTTCCTTCAGGGTCTAAAGGTTGAGAAAGACTGATCTAGAAAATTAGCATATACCTCCAGCCATTAGAAGACACAAATCAGCAATTGCATAAAGTCAATATGACTGCAGATTGATTTGGGGTTTTTAGATCCAAATCTTCCAGTTGTGGTTAGAACACTGGAGAGTATCATATAAAATAAAACACAAAAATTAAAAAGGATTTTTTCCCCCTTTCTTTCTAAAAGGTAGGTGGAGAATTATCTGTGATAGAGGGCTGTTTTTTTTTTTAATTAGCTGTTCTGTTGGGTTTGAGAGAACAGAAAGAATTGCTGAAATTTTATATCTGCAATAGAGACAGACATTAAAGCCTTGTTGCATAAACCTTCTTATTTCTCCACACTATTTCAATATTCTGGGGTATGGTTCATCCACAATTAACATTATTAATTAAGCTAAAACAGTGAAAATTGTACAAATGCCATAAAGTCAATATATGTCATGATATATTTACAGTCACATAGAAGTAATACTAATACCACTATAACTTCCTATATCTATAATATGACACTGCCATCTGACTATTAATAAGGTTTACAACAGGATAGCTATATCATCTAATTTTACTAGTTGCTATTCTCAACACCTATGCACAATTGCTTCCACCAATGAGGTTATTAAATAACTCTTCAAATCTCTCTTAAATGTGTGGGATCACAGTAGAAAAAGAAAAAAAACCCCTATAATCATGATCCCAGGTTCTGAAATACACAATAGGATGGAGCAACATATAAAGAGGGAATGAAAAGAATTCCCAGTTCTGCCAATCATGTATAAACAGGATTGCGCTAAGATGGGAAACAGCTAAACATGGTCCTGAGTACTAGCACCAAGAACTTAAATTAGACCCTACCCTAATTAGACCCAGGGTAAAACCAACACTGGGGGGAAATATAAAAACTGAGGGAAATTCAGAACAATACATACTATAAAGTTCTGTGCCGTGGCCAGTGGACAAAGGAAGGACAAAGGAATGCCTACAGGTAATCCCCGACTTATGACCACAATTGGTCAGTCACTAAGTGATGCAGTTGTTAAGTGAGTTGTGCCCAATTTTATGACCTTTTTTGGCCACAGTTAAGTGGATCACATGGTCGTTAAGTGAATCCGTCTTCCCCCATTGACTTTGCTTGTCAGAAGCCCCCTGGGAAGGTCGGAAATGGACATCATGTGACCCTGGAACACTACAATCATTGTAAATGCATGCAAGTTTCCAAGCACCCAAATTTTGATCATCATTGCAGGGACGCTGCAATGGTCATAAGTGCGAGGACCAGTGGTAAGTCACTGTCAGGCCTAGCCCAAGGAACTCCAGGAGACCATGCAGATTCAGTTCAGCAATGTTTATTAGCTACAACCT